TTCAGGGGGGGGGGGGGGAGCAAAGAGGGAAGAGGAGGGCTCTAACGTCGTCCTTGGCTTTTGTATTCACACCGTGCTTCAACAACATCTCCGCCACTTTGACATGACCTCTAACACAGGCACTGTGTAGCGGTGTCCATCCTTTCTGCGGATGATGCATTGACATGAAGTACAGGAACAGACAACTAGCATCACGTGTTGCAGGTGTACCATCATATCGGCGTAAAGGGGAGAGAAGAGGAGGTACTGACGTTGGTCTGGGCTTCGGCATCAACGCCGTGCTTCAACAGCACCTCCACTACCTTTACATGGCTCCGAAGGCAGGCACAGTGCAGTGCTGTCCAGCCATCCTGTGCCAACGAAAAGCAAGCAGACAAACCCAAAAGCACAAAACCGCTCAGATGGACAGCTTCAAAGCCATGATCACACAACAAAGCCCATGCGAAGCAACATACGTACCAGAATATCACGGTTCAAAGTGGCGGCGGCATCTCGAATACGTCGTGGATCCCAACTGCTCAACAGCTGCAGCGCCCTTTGTGGATCTGATGTCAAGCACGCCCTCAACAGCTGCTCTCCATCATCACTCATGATAACGATGTCTCTCCATCAGCAACAACCTTCCCACCACAAAAGTCCCGAGGGGGCTCCTCTAAGTGTTTCAATCCGAAACCACAGCACGGGCAGGGCAGCGGGCTGAATGGCGAGCGTTGCGCACTGTGGGTAGCAAGGATATGTTCATGACTGACCGTAGCTTGTGCTTCGTGTGGAGAAACAAACGGAGAGCTGCTTTCTTCAAACGCATTGTCGATGGTCGGTGCAGAAAGTGAGTGAGATCTCACGTCGTGTCGCAGCGCCGCCGTGTGGCTCACCTTGCACAGTGTAGCGTTACAAGTGTTCAGGTAGCACAACTCGAGTCATTCAAGCTATTAAACATGCTTTTTTTTTTTTCCTTGGCACCTTCACTGACTGTTAGCGTCAAATCCGTGTTCCACGCCGGACGCCCCGGAGCCTGACACTGACTGAACAGCAATGGTCGAGTACACCGGCACCAAAAGGAGTTGTTGTTAGAGATGCAAGCCTGCCCCCAAAGAAGGGAA